AAGCCAGCTCTAACCAATGCGCCACTCAGCCGGCCCTGTATGGGTTTTTTTTTGTTGGTTGGTTTTATTTGGGTTAATTAATTAATTAATTAAGTGTGTGTGTGTGTGTGTGTGTGTGTGTGTGTGTGTGTGTGTGTGTGTGTTGATAACAGCCATCCTAAATGAGTGTGTGGTCAAGATGTTATTTTTGGAGTTAGTAGTGTGGGAGTGATACAACATGAAAATAAGGAACTGAGTTGATTGGGAAGGTTTCTAGCTGTGAGTTTCCCGGCTGCACACAGGGATCAAAGGAATCAGTGTTTTGGTGGCTCTTTCCACATACTGATTCAGTAAAGCGGACCTCCTTATAAGCGCTGAAAACATCTTGTGTGTTTCTGGGAAGGGGAAAATCTCAGAGTCATGTGTCCTGATTAGGGTTTGGGCAAGGCTCACAATTTCTGTCTGCTGAAAGGCTACTCTGATGTGTACCACTGTCAGGGAGACAGACCGTCATGGGCAGAATTGTGACCCCGAAATTCATATGTTAAAGTCCTAATACCCAGTACCCAAAAATGTGACTTTATTTGGAGATAGGGCCTTTAAAGAGGTGACTACTCATAAGCTAAAATGAGGTCATATAGGTGGGCCCTAATCTAACCTGACTAGTGAATTTATAAGAAGGGGAGATTAAGACACAGACACACACGGAGGGAAGACCATGTGAAGACACAGGAAAAGGACAGCCATCTGTAAACCAGAAGAGAGGCCTCAGGGAAAACCAACCCTACAGCCTCCAGAACTGAGACAATATATTTTGGTTGTTTAAGCCAGCCAGCCAGTAGTACTTCATTATGGCAGCCCTGAGAAACTAATACAGACCCTCACATGTCTCTTCCTTTCTATATTGACTTCTCTGTTGTCTCCTTCAGTTCATGGTTTCAAATACCATTTCTAGGCTGCTATTTCTAAATGTGAATCCTTCTCTGTGGACTCCTAGGCTATCTATTCAACCACCATATCTACATTCTTCCCTTGGAAGTCTAACAGACATCTTCAATTCAACATGTGTAATTGGTGCATTAAACAAGCTCAACTCATGCCATAGTTAAATCAGACTTTACTTTTAGCTTTCCACCAACTCTTTAAAATTTATTCAGTAACTCTCCCTTGGTTGCAGATATGAACTCCAATAGTCCACAACTTTTCTGCTCACCCTTAGGTGTAAGAAATATTTAGTGGTCACCTTAGGTAGCGAATATAATCTTGATTCAGAAATTGAAATAGCTCAACTTGAACTTGACTTAATGTCTGATCTTTTCTCTTCCACTGACTCAGTCCTCCTTTAGCTGGAAACCTGCTGTGGTAGATAGAAAAAAAATGGCCCACTTGGCAACTGATCAACTGGGGATTCTTGTTGGAAGGTTAGATAGCTAATAAGATTTGAGGTATGTTGCACATCAGCTCAGGTTAAGCCCATCTATAGATTTTGTGAAACTCTCTGGTAAATGAAATGAACAAATTCACTTCTTCTACCTTTTTTAAAAGCAAGAAACCAAGTTTTGGTTCATATTGGGTATGAAACTCATGCAAGATTGTACAAGGAGTAACCGGCAAATTTAGTATTTGAAAAATCTGTTGAGCTTCAAAGCCCATGATCTGCGATCTATACTAGTGTTTTTCAAACTGGGTTCCTTAGAGCAGTAGGATGGTTCAGGCCATCTTCGGTTTGGAGTGAGTTTGGGGGGCATATTAGTTTTCCAGGGCTGCTGTAACAAAATACTACAAGCTGGGTCATTTAAAACAACAGAAATTGATTATCTCACAGTTCTAGTTTTACAGGCCAAAAATCCAAAATTAAGGTGTTGGCAGGGCCATGCTCCCTCTGAAGCCCTTAGGGGAGGATTCTTTCCTGCCTCTTACAGTTTCTTGTAGCCCCAAGTGTTCCTTGTTTTGTGGAAGCATCAGTCCAATCTCTGTCTTCACATGGTTGTCTTCCCTCTGTGTCTGTGTCTGCACATGGCTTTCTCCTCCGTGTGTCTCTCTCGTCTTATTAAGGACACTAGTCAAAGTGGATTAAGGATCCATCCCGCTCTAGTATGACCTCAGCATAATTTAACTCATTACATCTGCTAAGACTCTATTCCTGAATAAGGTCACTTTCACAGGTGCCAGGAGTTAGGGTTTTAAATATCTTTTGGAGGGACATGATTTAATCCATATCCGGGGGTGAGAAAAGGTCATGGGAGTGGGGGTCTCATCTCCACCCCAGTTTCAACTATGGCTGCCTGCTTTTGCCTGGTTAATATTTTGGAATCCCTTGAAGGACTTTGAGAAAGAGTGCCACTGCTAACCAATGTATAGAAAGCCACCTATCTATCACCTATCTACAATATGCCACTTTTCACCAAGAAACAGGCCAACACATCATTTAACCAGCTTAGAAACTGCTTTTGCTTCAGGCTTTATAATTCTGGTTTTCCTTCTACATGCCCTCTTCCTCAGGTTGGGCAGGGTGCAAACGGCCGATCACTGCTGATGAGTCTTGCTTTCGAACCACCACTGAGAACAGAGTGAGTAGCATTGGTCTGGCCATTCTCTCCATCCCTGTTCTCTTTGAGTCCTCTTGAATTGTCATATGTGCAATGCATGTGTGGTCTGTTTCCCTTGGGGTTCCTGTGTCAGGCGTTCTATCCCTGACACTTTCTCGTGCCCTTGGAACGAATGGTGTCCTTTAATTAAAGGCAGTGGGTGGCATGATGACAGGATTAGTATTAGTTTCTGGCCTCCCTAAAGACCAGGGAACATTGTGGCCAAAATTTTCCCATCTGTGTAACCGGACCATTTATATGTTTGTGAAAAATCGAAGAGAGGGTGGCAGTTATTTTCTTGGCCTGATGTCTGCTCTATCGGCTTCAGGAAAATAGTAGAGATGAATCCCACAGGAATTGTTTGGCCGTTTCACTTAATTGAAAACTTAGAGTGCTATGGCTTTAAAGGCATTGATATTCTGCCTCTTGCTTCACTGCAGAATGAACAACAGTGATGTTCTTTCTGCTGAACATCAATTACAGACGTTTTAGGACAGGCTCAGCAGTTTTGTGAGAATGAAGCTGTATTACTCAAGTGTAATGAGCCAAAAAAGAAAAAAAAATCTGGTTTTGATGCACTAGTAAAGACCCATGCCCTGGCCATGTAAGATCCTTGTCTGCTTTTGTTATGGATTTGGAAGGTACCGAGTATTCACTCAGGCTTATGGGAACAAAGGTGAAGGGAACATTCTGGCTTAGGCGCTGAGCTGAAATGAATATCAGGGACAGAGCTTTTGTTAACTAATTATAGACATAGTATTCAAATACAGAGTTTGCAAAGTGCCAGTTATCTAGTGGCCCCACCCCTCCACCCCCACACAAGAAAAGGGTTTAGAAATGATCAACTCAAATTCTTTTACAAATCCAGTATTTATTTTATTTTATTATGTACAAAAAGTAAACTTTAAACGAACATAAAACCAAATAAAATTCTTTCAGCTGCACTGACTAATTGCTCATGATCTATAGTCACAATTAATTATATACATGATAGACGGCTGCCACCATATCACATTTGTTATACAGACAGAATGTGATATTTGCCTATTTTAAAGAATGTTAAATAGAGAAAAAATAGATCATAAAGCAACCAGGCGACAAGGTCAGAGGATTCTGAGATAATCACTCCATTAAAAGAAACAATCTAAACAGCAAACTGTCAATCAAGAACAATGTAGTTAAAGAGCCAGATGCACTTCTACTTGGTTGACCCAGCTAAAGAGTCCCAATGGTACTTTGTAAGCACTTCTCATTTTAATTTTTCCTGAGGATTTGTGGGATACCTAAACTGTGAATTCAGTGTAAGAGTTTGCACAGTACCATTATTTCCACAGGAGGTTCTGGTAGCAGGGGAGTCATTTGCAATTGAACACAGTGATGGTGTGTTAGGATCAACTCATAGTGTCTTTGTTGATTTATGAAAAAATGGACATATTTTTAGTAAAAAAAATAAAAATAAAAAAAGCCAATGATAGCAACACACATGAAAGGTTTTTTAAATAAGCTGAATGGTGTAGTTTTACTCTGTTTGCTAAACTCAGTTATTAAAATGCTAAGAAACAACATCTTCACGTAACTATGTCTCTCGATTGATCTACGTACAGGTTTGTTTTAAACCAGTTAGTTAGCTCCTTGGGTCAATTTCTTTGCCAGGTACCTGCACATACAATTCTCTTGGAAGCAGGTCACAATTTCATTAGTGACTGAGGACAGAAACTAACTTCTTCTTATCTCTAAATACCGTGTGTATATTTTAAAAAATAATAGGAGAAAAAGAACATACTTTTTAAAATTCAGAATGTGTAGTTTGTAAAACTACTGTCATTTTAGCATAAGCTCAGCGCTGACCTTTTCAGATCAATCGTAAATAATAAATTCTCCCAAGAGAAGTATTTCTAGTAGAAGTGGGAAAAACGTGAACTAAAGCTAGCTATAGCTCCTGTACTATAAATATTTGCCACTTTGGGGCTTAGCACTCTTTCAGGGATAGTGATAATACATAAGAGCACACAAAAATATACACCTTTGTTTACACGGATAGAATATATGGAATTTTTGAATGATCTACATCTGGGGTTGGTATAGTTTCTAATATTACCAATAGTGCCATTATTCACGTTTTCTTGAACACATACACAGTGATGACCCATGATATATACAGCTTTGACAGACCAGTTTTTATGTCTTCCTATGGCAGGACAAAAATCAACTTAAAAAATGCTATGACGAGCTGGAATAAAATTATGTATAAATTATGGAATGCTCACTGGACAACGGAGGAAATTATTAGAAAACAGTCTTCACTGCCATCTGCGTCGATTTCCACTTAAATATCCAGAAGGTCATCTCCACTTTCATCGCTCTCCACGGTCAGCTGCCGGGTCCACCACTTCTTGACTTCAGAGCCACAGGAAGCTGCGTCAGTCATGGGGTTCATCTTGCACACTACAGATTTCACTGTCGTTCGCCCTCCAAACCGTAAGTTGACTGAAGACACTGAGTGGCTTATTGGTTTCGGTGCTGTGGAATTAACAAAAGGCCAATGAGCAATACGGTATGGTTTTACTCTAGTGAAAGTCATTCCTGAAAAAACGTGATATTCCCATCTGCTTTTGGTGAACAAGTCTTATCCACAAATATTAAGTATGAAACCTTTTCAGCACTTGATTCCTTATATTTATTCATCATGAACTTGAAAATTATGTTCATGGACAACTAAATGTAATGTCATTTGAAAAAAAATGTTGTTTGCCCCTTGCACTTTGAGATAATTACAGAAACAAGAAAACAACAAAAAAAATCCACTAAAAGTTCCAATTTGGGCAAATACAAATATTACAGAAATATGTATGAGTCAGTGTTCATTAGTATTATATACATTCATATGAAGAAAAAAATCAAAGGAAAATAAATGACAGGGAGGGAGAAAAAGGGATGTAGAGAGGCCACGGAAAGAAGGATGTGGGTAAATACAATTAAAAAAAAAA